TATATACATGTGTATATATATATATATATATATATAAAATTTACAATAGTAAATAAATATTTTCTCTTTCGCTTGAAACATATGTATATTACTAACAGCACGTTTGTATATATAAACAAATAATTAAATTTATTCAAAAGTTGAAAAAAAAAAACCGAAAAGTCTTTTGGGATTTAAAAACTGTAGTATTCAAACTGATATACATATAACTTGATATACTTGTTATACTTAGATATAGGTACTTATTAAATTGATGTACTTATGTCATTTATAGTACTCTCAAACAAAATAATGTTTGAAAAGTAATTTAAGTTGACAAAAATAATTGTGTACCTTAGTATATAAATAAAAATAATTTTAAAAAGTAAACACATTCTAGATAACAATAATAATAAAGTTGAAAATATAATTCTATTTCATTAAATTAATCGAAAATTGAAAATTATATGCAGAAATATGTTTACAAATTATAAAAAAAGGTAATAATCAAATAAATAATTATAGAATTTATTTACAGATTACGGTTACGAATTTAAAAGAATTCTTCCAATTTTTTTTATTAAAAAAAATTAACTTAACTCCCAAGATTCGTTAAGAATAAATTAGATTTTAATAAATATATATAATTTGCAATAATACAAATAAGACAAATAAATAGTACATGATAATATATACTTGATATCATGATAATAAAGAAAATTATTATAAAAATTGATTATATTTATTTAAGGCGTTTTAGAAATAAAAAAATTAATATTTTTTTCTTCTATATTTTATTTTTTTTAGTTCAATTGAAATATTTTCAAACTAAGAAATAAGAAATTTTTAGATTTCTTGTCTAATTTTGATATACATACATTGTAACTATATAATTTAATTTTGTAATATTCGTGCATTAATATAAATTATATTCTATAAATTATTTATTTGAATATGCTAATTTAATTTTCAATGGAAAATATTTTCAAAAATGATTTATATGATTCATTTTAAATTTCAAAAGAAACGATAATAATCGAAATGTATATTTTTATGTATCAATCTGATATTAAAAATATAGTAATAATGGTATAATATATTTACAAATATATTATTTTAAAATATATTTACAAATATATTCATCAATGATATTCCTATCTTCATTTATAATGTTTTTAAAGAATTAAGATATTTGAAATATTTTTAGAAATTATACAAAAATTTAACAAACTTAAGAAAATCATTAACTATACAGAAAATAATATCAATAAATGTTAATAACTTGCCATTAAAAAAATGTCTATAATAATAGTTTATTATCTCGTTACAATTTTGAACAATAAATGCACTGATCAATTAAAATAATTGCAATATTTAGATTACAAACACAAAATAAATTTATTAAGATTGAATAGTGAAAATTTAATTTCTGATATAAATTTTCTTAAAGAATTTATTATTATTGATAAAAGAGATTCTTAAGTCTTTCCTTTTCAAAATATTCTTCTAAATAAATGACAAAAATGATAATTTAAAAGAAGAAAGTCTTAACTATAAAAATATATGTATACACAGTTATAATACATTTACATAGAAGCAATATATATATAATGTATATACAAAGATAAGAGATATATATTATCTCTGTTACTTTGTTTATTAAGAGATCTATTTTCAATAGATATAATGAGTTTTCATAATAAAGAAAAATACCAAATTTGTAATTAATTATAATATCTAAATCTTACATCATTTTTTTATCCAATTATATCTGAATATATTTGTAACGCTGTATTTGTTCATTTGTTTTAAATATTGATCTCGCTTATTTATAAAATATATATCTAATTTGTAAAAATCGTTATTCGAATTCAAAATTAACGTAGGATCAAAAGTTTTTGAACCGAAATAGAATCTATAGAAGTAGGATAAAATTTCTGCATTCATTAATTGTAAGTTAATTACACAATTGAGAACATAATATAAATACGAAATATTATATTCAGCTACAGTATCGAGAAAAAACGATAGCCTATATTAAAATTTATTATTAAAATTTAATTGTAAAATATACAATTTTTAATTATGAATAAAATGAAATTACCTTCACGTATAAAATAAATATACAAAGTAAATATATTCTTTTTCTTCATTCTTTTTTATCTAATAAAATAAGATATAAATATAAAACAAAATTTTCAAATTTTATATTTTTCCTCGATACGTAGAAATTTAATAGATATCGGATTTTCAATGGTACAAACATCAAAAATCCATTTAACTTTGTACTTGATGAAAGTTCCTTCCACATTTGGCAGCGGTCATCGATTTCTAACGACTTCGTAAATCGTTTTAAAAGTATTTAGCTATGTGGAAGAGTCAGAAAACATGAGATTCGCTTTGAATTTCTGTACGCTAACAAAGGAGAGACCAGAGAAACGTATGTAAACGATGTTAATCTATCATCAATTCGAAATGGACTACGCCCATTTTGTCATGGCGGCTATGTTTTATGTTTCTCGCCCACGCCTTGCATTCTACGTTTATTAAAATTCCAGCTGTAACAAAATATTTCTTTTTAGATTATTCTTTTTCCCCTACGCAAAAACATTCATAAAATATCATATTCTTTCATATCATATTCTATCATATTCAATTTCTTTTTCAAAAACGATCTTAATTTTTGCATATATCGCGCATATTTATTTTGAACACTTACTGCGAGGACGGACGAAATGAACAGCCACCAAAGGACTGAGATAACCCTCTGAATTTTCAAAAGGATAAAAATAACCAGGGAATCCTCTTCGTGGAATATATTCGATTGGTCCTATATTTTCTTGATCTGCTGGATTCTCTCCTTCACAAGATACCCAAATTGTGTCAAGCTGGTAAGTATTTTTTAATCCAGTGATATGCTCTTTGAGATCGATCGGCATGTTTTGAGGTAATGAATTCGTATCGTTATAAAATTCTGGTTTCCAACCATATATCTAAAAATTAATTTAGACAAACACATTAATCTTAATTCTTAATTAGATTCTTAATGTTAAAACTTTTATTATTTCGCACTTATATTATTATTTAGATGATCAAATTACCTTATTAAGTTTAAGAAATATACACGGAGCGGATTTATGATAATTATATTTATTCTCTTTAGTACAAGGATACCAATTTTTAACATCAACATCGCAGACTTTACCAGGAGGTGGTGGTTGATTGTAATCACATTTATTAATATTTGCACCAAGACCAGGAATCGAACCTGGTGTTATATAATCTGAAAAATTAATCTTGACGTTATTTAACTATTGTATATACATTGTTTCATGTAATCTCGATATTACCTTTTAAAAACAATTCCAGAGAATCAATCCAATATTTAAAATTCTCGCTATCAGTTCCCCTGTACCAAATTAACGTACTTTCTACATTCTCTAATGGTGGTTGTGGTCTAAATCCCAAACCTACGAATAAAGAATATAGAATAAAGAATATTCGTGTGTGAATTATTCATACGTAAAATATGTGTATATAAATAATTTACCAGGATTTGTCCCAATTATTGAACGTTCTAATTGCCATCTCGGTATCCTTGGATCTAACGTTTGAAAGAAACCCCAAAAACAAATTGCAACCAGTGCGGCTAGTACCCCGTAAAATATCAAATAGAACAATCCTATTTTACCTGCAAAACATTTTATTTATTTCACTTTATTTACTCTTCCAAATGATCGTAAAATAAAGGATATGAAAGCTTGTTATTTCAATTCAGAAAGTAAAGATAAGGATAGAGAAAGATTAGAGAAATTTTATAATTCATAAATAAATAGAAACTTCGTTATTGCCATTATTGACCGCATGGAGGCAAAGGATTACACTTAAAATCCGTTTTTAAACTTATCTAATAAAAAAATAAATGGTAATAATTCGATAATAATTTGATAGTGGCAAAAGGGTTAAAGTTCTTGCTACCAGACTGTTACTCAAGAGGTCATTTTAGCGGAGAATGGAATCCGAGAAGCGACCTTGCGAGACATTGAATCGGTACATAATTGAATTGTTCCACTTGACCACACGCTTGAATCTTTCTTTGAATTGAGGCAGCGATTAATGTAATTAACCTATATTACATAGCGTACCACCACGCGCCGATTAATTCCATTAGATCTGCCAGACGTCATCGTATCATAAAAAATCATTGAGATTAACCCCCAACATTTTTATAGTATCGCAGATTTTTCTAATAATATCTAATAATATACCAAATAACTTGTTTGTAACAAAAATTATACATACATAAATGGAATCTGTCTTCGAATACAATATCTATATCAATAATTTTTATTATGGCAATTACTTTTGAGAGAGAGAATTGTCTTATTTTATTTTGCGCAGGACATACAAAGTGACCAACGATCGATGATACAACTGAAACTGGAAATGATTTTAAATTAAAAAAAAAAAAAAGAAGAAGAAGAAGAAGAAGAAGATATTAAAGATATAGTATAAAATATTTTTATATATTAGTAAGCTTTTTTTAATTTACAAATTTTCCTGATGCGTGTAGTTAATCTCAAAAAAAAAAACTAGCAACATCCCTCGTATCGATATACCTATAATATTGAGCAACGGAGAACAAGTAGGCAGCAAATGGTTAAAAACATTTTCTATTACGTTGAATAAATAATTTCATTCTCCTATCAATTTTCCAAATCTTTTATTGTGCCGTACAAACAATTTTTTGATTAATCAGGCAAATTAGCTTTAGTATTACAAAGAAAGAAAGGCAATAAGCGGAATCTTGACAGTTAACTACTGTATTGTATTACAGCTATGGATGCACGCAACGCGATATTCGCGATATCATATATGCTCTGCGGAAGGATGAGAATATATATACTTACATGTATATAAAAACCATTTAAAAACATTTATCGAAAAAAAATTACATCTTAACACGATTCAAATTTAAAACAGATCTGTATTTGCTGGATAATGTATCTTATTATCTGTATATATATATATATATATCCGTACGTCAATGTTTCAATTATCTTTTTTATTTATGCGATTCCATTTATTTTTAAAAATTATACAGTGTAAAAGAAAAGGCTGTTGAATAATACTAATGGAATTTAGTCGAGCAGAGAGGAATAACTTTATCAAAGTTATTCTTACGGGATTAATTTTATAAATTTTCGGGAGATGCTGAACGAAAGCTATGATATGTATGGTCGCGTGGGTGTACCCTTCGGAATGGCCCTAAGTTACATAATGCCGTAATGCCTCCATTTAACGCCAATTGACCTCGTTGTACGCGTTTGCGCTAAAGGAAGTTTAACAATTGCCATTCAACCGAGCAAACCGTTGTGTCCACCGCGAATTAGCCGCGGTTCGCGCTTCCGTCTTTTTCTCTCTTTTCCTTCTTTTCCTTCTTTTCTTGTCATTATCCATTATTTTGACTAAACCAATCGGAAAGATAAATATATGCACGCTGAACGAACATCGTAACGTCAAGTTTCTTTTCCATTCTGCTTAATTAAGATCGATCAAAGTGTATTATAGATCTGATATTAAAAAGAATTGGGAAACAATGTAAGGATGGTCAACCAGTTTTAAGGTTAGGATAAATTGAGGGATATAGTGTTTGAACAGTGAATGCAATTTGCAAGAAATTGTAAAGCTGCGATAGGCTTCTGAGCTAATTAAACTAGAAAGAAGATGTAATCTCGCGATTCTCTCTACCTTTCTATGCATTTTTGTGGGTCTTCTATTTGCTATATTTGAAATAGTTGAAAACATACGCACGCGTGCACACGCACACATTCAACTAATCGTAACATGATATTCTACGGATTATTTTTCAAGAAGACCAACCACGTTGATGTATCAAGATAAAGTCATTTATATTTTTTTATTATTTAATATTCATATACGGATAACTTTCAAATTAATGTAATAAACAAAGAATAAAAATTATGTTATTAAAATGAATGATTGGTAAAATCTGGATATAATTCTGTGGTTTGCCTACAATCGTCTGAAAACTATTGAAATAAATATGAATGGAATTGTATTAAAAATTAAAAATTAGCAATATTAATTGTCAATATATATATATATATAATGTTCCTTTTCAATATGACGTCTAATATTACATGTTGTTCTACACCCTCTCATAGGGTGTGTTTTCAATTGTTGCCATAACAACGTAATAATTGATGTATATAAATAACATGGCATAAATTCTTCATATTCTATTATTTGTAAATGATAGAAAGATAAACATATAGATATAAAGATTATATAAAATATTTATATACAAAAAGATAAGTGAAAAAGATAGATTGAGAATAACTAATATGAAGTAGATCATCATAATAAAATTATCATTTTTATTAATAGAATCACTATTATGAATTAAAAAAAAAAACAATTATAATATTATTTATGGTCAAAAAATTTGTGAGACAAATTTATAAATCATTTATTTGATATTAGTTATATTTTTAATATTGAATATTTGTAGAAAAATAAACTGAAGGATAAAAATAATTGGAACTCTTTTTATATTCATCATGTGCAAGTTCATAGCATTAAAAATGTTAGCCTTTTTAATAGTATAAATTCTCTGCGTGTATACTATAGATAGATACATAAATTGTACAATATTAATATATTCAACATTACATTATATTTATTATATTAATGTTATATACAACATTAATATATTATAAAGAAAAAATATTTACACGGAAACTATGAATATTACATGTATTTTTTATTTCTGATAAAATGATGAAAAATATATATACGTGCATATGTAAAAAGATGTATAAAAACAAAATGCATAATTTAATTAATTACCTCAAGTTTTCAATGTCAAGAATAGTAAATAGTTGTACTATGTATAGATTTTATTTAAATTTTAAGTGGATATATTTCTTTTTATTGAAAACAAACATTTTTCATATTTCTTTTTTGTGTAAAAAGATATTATATATATAAGCATAGAGTAAAATAATTCTCTAAAACTCTTAAATCTCCGAAAGAGACGCCACTTTTCTCTATTCGAATTAAAATTTTCTAATTTCCAATTATTCACGTCGTACGGTTTTACAAGCTAAATTTTTTAATTTTTTATATTCATAAAATAAATATATATCTATTGATCAAGGTAGTAGTCACAAATACAAATTCACTATTCATATTCTTCAATCTGCTATTTTTATTCATCTACTTAGAAAATAGTTCATATCAAGATAGGTTAGATTCCTTTCCTTTTCTTTCAGATTTTTTTTTTGTAAAGTTAAATAAAAGTATATATATAATATAATATATAAATAAAACTATATACTTTTGTTTTATGTTTAATCAGTATAATAATAATAATATATAATATAATAATATATAATATAAATTATATTATATACTAATTATATACTAACTATATTGTATTTATGCATAAATACAAAAGTATTTTTAAAAAGTCTTCATCACTTTTCACTTTTATTAATTAATATTCTACTAATATCTAATAATTTAATAATGATAATGAAGTAAATAATAAAATTATAGATATAGAAATATAAAGAAATCTTTTGACTCAATGTTGTTTACGTGTTGTTTTATTGAAAATATTTATTATAGACTTTATGAAATATATATTTTTTATATTTGTTAAATATGTATATTCATTCGTATGTATTTATTAACTCGTTTATAAAATTGAAATAAAATATTCTCAAAGCATCGATTAAATTATTGATTATTGTTTCGATTTTAATCCAAAGTTAAGCAAATAATCGATTTAAATTTCGATTAATCATCGATCGGATATTCCAACTTACCCCAACTACTAGCTGTTCTGCCTAGAAAGGCACCAGTTTCACGATTGTAAATAAAAGTTTTTAAAGACTGGCTGGTTGACATACTCGGCGGTTTAAGATAAGGATTTGCCATCTCCGGAGTAACCATTTTCGAATCCTTGCTGACCATTGTGTTCCCAAGTGAAAGACTTTATTCTAATTAAAAATTTACGCACTAATCACGTTTTTAGATTTTCGAAATTGTAATATGGCAAATGCACGTATATAATCCAAAATGAAACAACACGATCGACAACACCTGCACCGAACTGTGAGTTCTTCGAAGTCGGCTAACAGTTTCTCCACTGCCGACAGTTGGTTGTCCAGCGCCACCAGGTTGACTGAACACGCTATGTCCGTGCAGACTTCTTCTCCATCTCGTTCTCTTCTATTATTTTCTTGCCACTTTCTCTTTCTCTCTGCCCCTCCTTAAGCCCCCACCATCGTCATCAAACCGTCCATTGCCATGACGTGTCGATTGTACACGTATATAAAATGCTATAGTAGTGTAATCCATCGTCATCAGTGTGTTGGTTTCATGGTGTTATGCTCCAAGCGATAATTTCATGGGAATATTCCTAGAAATATTACGTGTGATTACGATTGATCGAATCTCTTTTTAATCTATATTATAAAATTCAAATTTCAGTAATTTTTAGATAATTTAAAATTACAACATAAACTATTATAATAATGGTACAATGGTACAAACTATGTTCTCTCATATGCCACGCCTATACGCAATCTCTTTGTCTCTGTTATATTCAAGTTACAATGAAGTGAATAATACTTATGTGAGTAGTGAACAGGTTTTCGGCTGTTCAAACCGACGCATGTGAAGATTTCAATGCTCGGTAGTAATTTGACATTTGAATTACACCTACAAATGTTATACTTCCCTTGTTCTTTAAATTATGACTAATACTTAATCAGTAAAATTATTTTAAAAGATCATTTAAAGAATCATTTTTTAAAATCGAAAATTTCAAAAATCTAAATTTGATTTTGATTAATTTATCTAAAGGAGATTAATTTTATATAATTCGAGTAATTGTATAAAATAATTTTTTTCACAAAATAATATAAATTAGTATTAATGTTATAATATTATTTAACAATAGCAAAAAAATATTTCGTAATTATTATAAAATTATATATTTTTCTTTTAAAAGAAATACATGCAATGAATTTAATAAGATCTATCCAACGTGGCAAACTATATTTGGATACAGTATAACATAAACGATACTATTTAAAATAATTGTAATATATTTTTTTGGATTTGATTACATTTTTTCATATTTTTATCGAGAAAAAAGAATAATATTTATATGTTTTTTTAAATAATACGAAAAAAGAAATAGAATATTAATGCACAATTTACGGTGAAAGTAATTAAAGTTTAGTGGCGCGATCTGCTGTTCGTTTCCCAGACTTAAATATAATTGGCTTTCAAAAATAAGTGGTTGCTCTCCGGATTATTCATCTATTATTTTACTTAAGATTATTGCTAATTCGATTTCACAGCTCAAATTTGAGCTCTTTATTTTAATTATATATAAATAATGTTAACGACAGATTTAAACGATTACGTTTTCGTTAAATTTAAAAATTTCTGTTATAAATTGAATAATTGATTTCATTTATTTTAATGATTTTTATAATTATATATAAATATTTTTGAAATTTTTATCAAAAAAAATGATTGTAATAATTGCCGTTAAAACACCTGTACAATATAGTCACGAAGCTATTGTATTAAAGAAGGCTGTGAAAACGATTTCCTCGACTTGATCGTCGAGAAACAAATTGGGGGCTAAGGTCAAACCTCGTGTGTGTGACCTTAGTGCTCAGTGACAGCTCGTGTATGCGATTCACATCACTGTACTATTGGTAGTTACCTCCTCTCTCTTTTTGTCACTTTGAGATGAATCGCACACATGCATATAATATGAGTCATACGTGACGACCGATCTGAATTAACCACATCCTGTCCACAGTGTCGTGTGACATTAATGTCATTGCCGTGTGTCGTCCGACTAAAAGGATTTGACAAAATAAATGAAAGAATCGTCTTAAATGTTTGATTCTCTTATAATGAATTTCTTCCAAAAGTAAAATCATAATATGGTACTGAAACATTTACCAACTGATTGAAGATTGTTAATCTTTGAATATTTTTTTGAAATTTATATGCTCATGTGTGTATGTATACAGATCATCTATGCACGCGAATATGAATATGTATTATATACATACATACATACATATAAAATTATAATATATATGTAATATTATTTACTATCATCTTTTAGATTATTGAATTTTTCACATTTATAATTAAATTTCAATTAATCGAAAATAATTAATAATTTTATTCTTTAATTTTATTTAAAAGTATATGATTACAAAATACATCACTCATCCAAAATATTTCTTAATCCCTACATTCTTTTATCATTTTAATGTCATTTTCAACATTATCGATTCGGCTTAAAATAGGGTTAAGTAATGATCGAAATTGAAATTAAATTTCTATAAAAATTATAAATAAAAAAATAAAATAAATATCATAGAATTTAAATTCTATTCTTGCCAGTGAACGGTAATTTTTGATAAAGAATACTCGTGTCATACATATATTATATATATATATCATATATATCATCGTTCTAGAAATATATTGTAAAGTAATATATTGAGATTGTAATATCTATATCTTTTACATTAAAGATCAAGATAGATTATAATTTTGAAAGAGAAACAATGAAAATATGTTCAATTGAAATTCTCTATCTCATGTGTAATTATACGTTAAAAGCAAGTATAGATAAGAGAGCAAATAATAAGAAAAGGACAGAGATAGAATAAAAATATTGAAATCAGCGCCATCTTCAGAGTGCCGCAAATGAAACTCAGATGGAAAGGATAGAAAATAGTGGAAAAAGGATAGAGATAAGATAAGAATTGATCATTAATACCATCTCTTGGTGATGAACTACATCTTTTTAAAAGCATGGTAAAGTCAATTAATAATTGAAGATTAACGCCATCTCTCGAATGTTTTTAGAAAGATAATTCCTTGAAGAGATAACTTTGATACTCGAAAGATGGCGTTGATGATCAATTCTTGTTGTATTTCTATCTTTCTCCTACTATTTTCTATCCTTTCTTTTTATGTTTCATTTACGGCACTCTGAAGATGGCGCTGATTTTAATATTTTTAATCTATCTTTATCCTTTTTCCACTACTTGCTTTCATCGTCTCTACTTGTTTTGCATTACATGTTGAAGAGATGTTTCAATATCTGATTAGTTTTATTACATTCGTTGTTTAATCTATTAATTTATCTTGATAGTTTAAATCTTAAGTTTAAAGTTAAAATTTTATTCCATATATTAATTTTTTTTTATATATTACAAATATGTATATTTTATACATATTCATTTTTGTACATACATATATGTATGTACTTTCGATCAAACTTCAATATAATAACATAATATAAAGTTTATTAATAATTTTATACAGAATGATACTCTTCCGATTGCATGAATTAATTGAATTGCGATTTACTATTAAATAATCTTATGTATTTAATAATAATTGTAATTTTATAAAATTAATTATCATATGTATATAATTGCTTGGTATTTTATAATTTTGATAATTGATACGAGCGATGAAATCTCGTATCGTATGTGTAACAATAATCAATTTATCTTATCTTTATTTAATTTCTTAAGTATTAAGTTAAATATTATTTGAATCAAATATTTCAAAAATTTGGATTTAACTTGTTTTTGAATATTATCAAGAAGTATATACAGATATGACATTCAAGTTTCGTTGATATGTTATAACTAACATAACAAAAATAAACAATTATCGTAATTACGTTAATTTAAATGCAATCAGTTTTGAAGGTTATACATAGATTAATATATATATATATATATATACTGTTCTTTAGTTGCCACGCCTGTAAATTAAATATGGATGGAAAATTTCTCTATAAAAATGTTAAATATATATCGATTAAAAAGAATCAAACTCGTCAAAGGTTAAATTAATTAATTACTAGTATATTATCCTGTATTAACTTTAATTTTTATTGTAATTGTAGTATTCAAAGAATAATAATAAAATCGAAATGAAGGGCTTTTATACATTCTGTTTATTTTTTCATAACACATTTCAAGCATAATGATATCAACAGCCATGCCATCTCATCTTAAATTATTATCAAATATTCATGCTTAAAGATCTTGTCGCCGAGATCGAAGCCCTAATTTCGAAATCAAAAGTGATATCACAACGATATGGGATCGAAAGCTCGTATACATTAAAGTTCTCGATAGACAAATTTCTCGAATTCGATACTGTTTTAAACATTATCATCAAACTTTATCCACGTTACCTTATCTTTTTTCGATATTAGTGCGGTAAATTTTTTTCGCAATTTCACAACTCATCTTTACTCTTGTCCGTTTGGATGCAAATCTGATTACACGAAAGAATAAAAGTAACCTGAAAATTTTTTGATTCTATTCCTTTTATTGCTGCCAAATCGTGTTATTTTTTTTGATCGATAATCGTAAAAATAAATTGCAAATATTATTGGAATAATAAATATCGGTATCTCGATATAGAAGTTGATAGCTTCACGGATTATAAATCGTCCGAGCTAAAACGATCTTTCGTGCTACTCGTTTCATCTCGTTGTATGATTCTCTGACAGGCCTCTTGACAGCTATATATTGGCGTAGATCATATATGTAATATATTATCAACTGTAATATCTTAAACATCTAATAATCAATGTCGTCACAATGGATCTAAGTACATAATTTTTTTTAATCGACAACAACAAGTGTAGGTGTACGAAGACTCAAAAGCAATAGGTATCGCGGAACGAGAAAATTTACAATGATTTTGCACTATATGCTAAATTCGAGTCTTCGCAGTCTACGGTAAAATCTTAGTGATCGGATACAGGAGGAATTCCTGCACCATAACATAAGCGTTTATGGTATTTTTCATATTTTTCATATCTTTGGAATGCTTATATAATGCTTAACGTTCCACGAGCAGTGTTCGTTCGTTATTATTCTTCTGCTTTTATTTTATTAGTATTATTCTTCGCAACTATTTCCTTCTTTTTCACTGTGGCAATATAATCTTTGGTTTAAACTCTTCTCTATACATAAAAAGTCGCAAAGGATACGAAAGGTAGATGTATGCAGTGTGACGGGTACTCGTATATGGATACACGATTACAGAATATCGATATATCCGTTAATTTCCTTTCTCGGATTGAATTCGAATCAAAGCAGAAACAAATCTTTCCGCAATTTAATAAATACATCAACGTTGCAAGAATCGCTTGAATTTCCACGCGTACGAATTTAAACAGGTTATTAACCTTATTAAACGTCAACGAAATATAACCTTATAAATGTCAATTTTGTAAAGCGAGTATTGATCGGAAGGAAGCGAGGACCGTGAAGATGAATCCCAATTAATTAAGAATCAACGGCACGGTGTCTCGAACCGTAGGAATTTCATGCCATTTTTTTGTCATCACTGTATATATGAATATATTTCAAGTATCACACATATTGGTTCGCCCGATCGAATTTTCGACATAACCTTAACGGTAAGTTGTCACGTAAACCACCACTCTGTGTGTGCGATCGACGTATCAATCACTTTATCCGTAGCGTATTCCAAACGCATATACGTAACATACGTACGATGAACGTGTTCGAACGTCTTATAGTTTACGTAATAATACACATATCGTTTAACGAATAGTAATATAACCGGTATGCATGCATATATGCGTTATAATATACGAATCACACTTAAAAGTACTTATGGGAATTTAATCGTTTTAGTTAGAATAACATTTTCTTATTGTTTTTTTTTTTTTCTCTCTTCCCCCCCCCCCTCCCTTAGCGTTCACATTTCATACGATATTTCGCGAGTTCTGTGTCGAATTTTTACTAATTTTTACCGGCTATTCAGGAATTACGATAAAATTATCTTTGGTAATTAATATCTTAGGTGTATATCTTCATGTGATGTATATGTATATAATATATAATATATAATATTAATATATATATCATACGTAGCGTATATAATATATATATTAAATATACGTATATAATTCTATAATATATTCGATACATCTTTAAATATATCTTAAAGCTTATAATTCCGCCACATTTCCCCCCCCCCCGTTTTTTTTTTTGTTCTTGTTCAAAATTTTCATCTACTCTCATACGCATACTCTCACGTGCATACTTAAAGCGCTAATCGAGTTTAACAATTATCACACAGGAAACATGTTCCAAATAGAATCTGGAGAATAAACTGTAATCTGCAGGATAGCAAAATATGCCATGACCGTTAACCAGTTTGAATAATATTTGTAATATTTACCAGCTTTCCATCCTCCTTCCTCCTTCCAAGTTGATCCAATTTCGTTTCGAAAAATGGAAATTCGGAACGGCGAACTAAGAAACTTTAAGCATGATATTTCTTTTTTTTTTTTTCTTATTTTTTTCTTTTTTTCCTCGATACCATAAGCTTTTTTTCCCGCCTTTCTTCCAACTTTCTCGTTCCCTTCTCTTTCTTTCCATGCTTTTGCGAGTGAAACGTAATCCTACAATACATTAACAACAGTTGTCCTTCAGTTATTAGAAACGGCTCGTTCACAATGATGAATATACATACATATAATATCGCTCTCGATCGGTGCACTGGATACAAGTGTAATAATTTCTAATAGTACTTTATACCGTCAACGGGTAATTCATCATCGTTTTTCGCTTCTCATCTTCTCTTCTCGTACATTCTTGTTTCCGTTTCTCCTTTCCCCTCCCCCTCCTCTTTTTCTTCCCTTCACCCTTCCTTTTCTTTTTTCTTTTTTTTTCTTTTTTTTCTTAAAAGTTAATAGTGTCGTCGACGATTAATCTATATTTAAGTTTTTTTTTTTTTTTTTTTTTCTTTCTTATCTCAATATGGCTCCGGGCGAGGACTCAAAAATAAGTGATCGTTAATAATCGTAATCATTACAACGATAATAATGACAATGATATTAATACTACTATTAATAATAATAATAATAATAATAGTAATAATAACGAGCAAGAGAAATAATAATAATAATAATTATAATAATGATGATGATGATAAATACTAATAATTGTAATATAATAATAATAATAATAATAATAATCGAACGATAACACGTTTCGATTAATTAATAAATAAATAAAGACGAAATAATGGGTATAATTTTTTGGCAGCGCTCACATTCGAAGCCGCCGCCCGTTCGGATCGCTTGATCTATAGCCTTTGTACTATCGTTTTTTGTTCGCATAATCAAGATCGATTGACCCTTTAATACGCTTTCATCGAGAATTTAACGGGAATTTTTCTTTCGATAATAATAGTTCGATTATCGATCGACTCGGTTAAAATTTGAGATTTGATTCGTCTGACGATTCTAAAAAAAAAAAAAAAAAAAAAAGGAAAAACAATAATCAGAAAAATCGATATTGGCTACATCTCGAACGTTTTCAACGTGCGTTAAGATTGATGCAACTGAATCCAAAAAGATTCGTATACGTAAGTAAGGTAACAAATGGTGGATACAGTATAATGGCAGTACAACGTTTGTTGGTAGTGTAACGTGTTGAGTACAAGCGTTTGCGAACAATTATACGGCATAATGGATGAAGGATCTTCTACGCCGTTCGATTGAAAAGATTAAATTCACGACGTGAGCACGCCTCCTTCGAACGGGTCGAGTAAACAAACAACATCGTAAACATCATGAACAACACTGATCCCACGGATGCGAAAAGGGGGGGGCGGCGACTATCGCGCAAACGCTGTCGAATTCGGAAAACGAACAAGCTCTCGGAATAAACCAGCTCTGCTTCTATGTTCAAGCCACAAAGACTTAGGAGATCAGAAGAAGAAACGTTCGATTTCGTGTTCGGTTCTCTCGAGTAGTAAGTACATTGCCATCGATTGGTCGCCGTAATAAAGAGAAAAGAAAACGAAAGAAGAAAAGAAAAAGGAAGGATCGTCTGAAAACAAAAGCGGCGATCGGACAAGGCGCTAAAGATCGTGAGACGAGGATGGTTTGAACGGTACGATGATCGATGTTTCGCAAGAGCATGGTGGAAATTTTATTTTCGACGATGAAAATTATCGCGGGATTATTAATCGGTCGAGTCGAATGATGGCTCGTTCGCGACGCTATGTTCGAAACGGAACATAATTCCTCTGATCTCTAGACTGATGATACAACCTATCGACTAATACGATTGCGTGGACTAGCACTAGATATTATCATGCGGTACGATATAATCATAAATACATATTCCATACGGTGTTGTACGATTATCACTAGGCTGATTTAATAAACGTTTTCTCCCCGTGCAAGCACTGCGCGCTCCTCCTTCCCGATCGAAAATCGAAATCCAACGAAATTTCTTTTAACATCTTCCGCTCTTTGCTTTGCTTTGAATCTCGTATTAATCTATTTACATTTTTTATTAATGGCGGTAACACAATCGAATCGTTTTCAACATTTTTCCCCTCCGCCCCTTCCTAAAACGTTTGAGCAATTCGAATGAAATTGAAATTTTACCTCTTTCTTTTCTAGTATACATATATATATATATATATGATAAATACAATTAGAAGAAAAATCAAAGAAAATATAAGATTGCTTTTTTTTCGTCGACGATGAAACGTATTCCTTCCCTCTTTTAATTTTTCTTTCTCTTCTTTTTTTTTTTTTTTTAAAGAACTTCCTACTTTCCATCTCTCCGACTCACTTTACCGTTACCACCATTAATCACTGTATACAACGCGGTATAATAATAACAATAATCAATATAATCTCGTTCACAGGCGGAACTTCAAATGAAAATCCAAACGTTCCTCTCTATCTGTTTTCCCTTTCTTCGTCGATCGAAATTGAAGAAAATTGGCCCGTCCCGTTCCACCCTCCTCCCTTCCTTTTCCAAACAATTATCTAATAAAATAGAAATCTATCTATCAAAGTTGGTAAAAATCGTAGGATTTCCAATCGAAAGTTCCACCGGCGGCAAAACTCGTATCGAAACGATTCGATCGATAGTGCCGATTCCTCGTTCCGATTCCTTTTCTTATTTTTACGCCATCGATCGATCCCTCCTCCTTCCCTTCCCGAAACGACGGAACTTTCGACCGAGATTCGCCGAGAGCCACGTCCGAGAGCTTCTTCGTGAAATTCGAAATCAAAAGTTCCACCGTGCCGGGCGCTAAACGCGTTTTTCTTTTTCTCTCTCTTAATACTTAAACGGGCAAAACGATTTCTGTACCCTACACGCGTTAGGTGGTCTCGTCGAACGCAATGGCGAACAATGGTGGTCGACAAGTCATCCAAGAAAGAAAGAAGGAAAGAAGGAAAGCGACGAGAGAACGAAAGGCTGCCCGCCGACGAGACCGCCTTGCCTTGCGAGCATAGAAAAGCGTAGAATTCGCGAAAAGGGTTCGAAAAAAAAAAAAGCGAGGGAAATCTAGATCGTCGTCGTGACCACTCCTCCCCTTCACCCTCGATAGAAACGAGTACGACCTGTACCACCGTGTGACTTTTCTTCTTTTCCTTTTCTTTTCTTTTGTGCAGAATTTTTCCGCTCAACTGCCCTTTTTTTGTGCATCCTGATTACACGTATACTATACACGCGTACATCCATCTGTATACACATATATATATTACACATGTGTGTTACACAGACGTATATATAGATAGATATATGGATACGGATTGGCGAAAATTGAACCGATTAGATTTTTAGATCCACGATGAAGATGGTTTCGCGGAAGCGTCGAGAATCGCGTGCTGCGAGACGCTCACTCACACGCACGCACACACACACACACGTACACGCGATATGAAACGAGCGGCCATTTCATTCGGATGATGATCGAAAGGATGATCGAAAAAAATGGTGGGAAATCGTGGGAATGAACGAAGGGGGGAGGCGTTAAATCGTATCGGATGATTAAACAAATGCGTGGAGAGAGTGTGGCGTACGTAAGGCGCGGTTACATAGGGGGCGGTATCGTCGGCAGACGAACAAACGAAGGGAAGTGGAGGAGCGGTCACCGATTGGAAAAGAAATTTCTCTTGAATATCCTCTCTCTCTCTCTCTCCTTTCTCCTTTTCTGCTTATTTTTCTCTTGGACGCGTGGTAGTTTTTGTTGGTAGTGATGCTGCAAAAAGGTGGCGGGACGAGGCTTAGTCCACCATCAGTTCGAAGTGTACCGAGCCACGCCTCTCGAATCTATCGTGGATGATGTTGTGCGCCCAAGCTTTGCACTCGATGTTGATCAATACGCCGTCTGGAAAATCGATGAAATCGTTTCCTCTTCCATATTATTATTATTATATATATATATAAAACTTACATTTAGGCCTCTCGAAGAAAACAGCTACGAGGGGGCTGAGGTATCCGGGGGTGTTTGTGAAGGGGAAGTAGTAACCAGGGAAACCTCGACGAGGAATGTATTGAATCGCGCCCATGTTCTCCACGTCGGCTGGATTCTCGCCCGAGCACGAGACCCACACCGTGTCCAACCTGTTCGCGTGCTCCTCCGCTTTGATGTGCTCTTGAAGATCGGTGGGCATGGCGGGGGGCAGATTCTTCGTGTCGTTGTAATATTCCGGCTTCCAGCCGAAAATCTGACGGGATTATATTGATGGGTGTGTAAAAGGGTGTGTTTCAGGAGACAAGAATCGAAATACACGAACCTTGTTCAATTTGAGGAAGATGCAAGGGGCGGATTTGTTGTAACCGTACTTGTTCTTCTTCGTGCACTGCCCCCACGTCGACATGTCCACGTCGCATACTTTGCCGGGGGCCGGTGGTTTACCGTAGTCGCAAATCGTCCTTTTTTGGGCACCGTTCGTCGACGTGGCTGGTTTCTGATACTCTGCAACGTGTTCAAAACGTTGTTCATTTCTCAACGTAGCTCGTCTAATATAATATATCGAGAGAATATGGAATGGTTGGAGATCGAGATAATTTCATTTATTCTTTTTCAAGAATCGTGTGCGAAGAAAAATGTAATTTCTATTTTTAAAATTGCTCTTAATTTTATACGTGTGTGTGTATATATATGTATATATTATGTATAGTTATTATATAATATAAATGTAAAGACACCGAGAAACTTTGATCCAAAGATTGGTCTCACCTTGACCGGATTTAACGGGTTCCTGACGTAATTGGCTCGTTAGGACAAAGACTATTTTCTCGCTTATCGGTTAATATTAGCGTCATAACACATCTATGGAAATAATATTATCGGATATATTTGTGCATCCATCCAATACGCAGTTTTACTTTGAAATACTTTGCTCCTTGAATCGGGACTTTTCTCAAGATTTCTCGAAATTCTCGAAAAATTCGTAAGAAATTTTATCACCAATTTGAAATTTTGGAACAAGCTTGGACGGGTGGAAAATTTTTTTCTAATTTGAACTTGCTCACCTTCGAGGAACTTGTCCAATTCTCTGGTCCAGTGTAAAAAGTTTCCCTCGTCGCTGGCTTTGTACCAGATCAAGGTACTCTCGACGTTGCTCGAGGGTGGCATGGGCCTGAAACCAAGGCCGGGGTTGCTCCCGATCAAGGAATTGTCCAACTGCCATTTCGGCGCATTCGGGTCTAACGTTTGATAGAAAACTGTCAACATCGCTCCGAAGAAACCAGCCAGTACCGCATAAAAAATAACGTAGAATAATAATATTTTGGCTGGAATCAGAAGGAAAAAAGAAATATAATATAATATCGTCATAAACTTCCTCTTAAACTTTCTAAAAAGAACGAGAGCGAAGGAGAAAGGATAAGTCGAAATCTTATCGAGGCAATTATCGAAACGGAGAGAGAAACATTTTATTGCAATAATCCCCTTTACGCATAGCAGTAACTCAAGTCTACAACATTGAGACAGTTATGATCCGTGGTCTAATTGGCCTGAATTGGTATTGAGTAAGCGACGCTGCTTGAGTTTATTATAAGAATCATTGATCAACAACAAATTACAAAGCGTATACAAATCGTATTACATCGTCGAATTTTTCCTCGAGTTGCAACGATTCCTTTTTCGTGGAAATTTTTTTCAAAAATTATCCCGCCGTCTCTGATTATAAATACAAATATGTCGAAGCTTTGAATTAAGCTTTTACACGCGTATATATAGCGTGTTTAAAGACATCGTTTAATCGACATCTCTAATTTTATAACGATCCGTACCGAAATAATTTCATTTCGAAATTATTGTTCTATAATGTTAAGATTAAAGTTTCATTTGGCATTAGATCAAACTTTACGATCAAACGCACGCAACAAGCTTGTTACCGTTTTTCGTATAAACGTGATTACGAAAAAATTTAAAATTATTGGAGAAACGTAATAATGGAATGCATAAAATACGAATAATAGTATAACTTCAAAATGTTATTATATAATTTTTTTTTTCAGAATTTTCATAAATTTGATCGTTGATTCGTTGTTAAAATTTCCACGAATAAAAATGGTATCTAAAAGGCAAATTTAAGTAACATCTACTGGAAGTGGAATATACAAGAAAAGATAAAGCACGTTATTGATCTCCGTAGATACCACACACACTCTCTCTCTCTCTCTCTCTCTCTCTATTCTACATCGCGTGGAAAGAGTTTAAATTAAAGAAACCAGCTCTCCTTCCTCCTCCCCCCCCCCTCCCTCCCCTCCTCTTTTTTTAAATATTCGAGTAACTTTCGTTTGTTAAAATTTTGTTAATAAAAAAAAAAAAAAAAAAGAAAAAGATTTATGCACATAAATCTGTAATCTTGGTTCAATTAAATAAAAATCACGCGAAGAGATCTGCTTCCTGTAAGATCTCTGCATTTGTTCGTTCCCATATATAGTGAGAGTGATAAAAAAAAAAAAAAAATCACAAAGATCATTGCCATATTTCTTTGATTCAAAATTCAAACTGAAATGCAACAATATCAATGACCCACTTCGTGAAAGAACCGTGGTGGCTTCTAAGTTTGTGGCGCCGTCGCGTTCCGCATACGAAGTGATCGATATCTCAAAAAAAAAACCGTGAAAATGTTACGTTACTACAGTAACCGTAATAGCATACTGCATACTTTTGAGAGAAAATACAAGAGACGATCTCTCTCTCTCTCTCTCTCTCTCTATTCTACATCGCGTGGAAAGAGTTTAAATTAAAAGAAACCAAGCTCTCCTTCCTCCTCCCCCCCCCTCCCTCCCCTCCTCTTTTTTTAAATATTCGAGTAACTTTCGTTTGTTAAAATTTTGTTAAAAAAAAAAAAAAAAAAAGAAAAAGATTTATGCACATAAATCTGTAATCTTGGTTCAATTAAATAAAAATCACGCGAAGAGATCTGCTTCCTGTAAGATCTCTGCATTTGTTCGTTCCCATATATAGTGAGAGTGATAAAAAAAAAAAAAAAATCACAAAGATCATTGCCATATTCTTTGATTCAAAATTCAAACTGAAATGCAACAATATCAATGACCCACTTCGTGAAAGAACCGTGGTGGCTTCTAAGTTTGTGGCGCCGTCGCGTTCCGCATACGAAGTGATCGATATCTCAAAAAAAAAACCGTGAAAATGTTACGTTACTACAGTAACCGTAATAGCATACTGCATACTTTTGAGAGAAAATACAAGAGACGATCTTTTATCTTTTATGCAAAAATTCGGATTCTTGCGTGACGTATATCACTTGCATGCGTCATCTCAATCTCAATTCAATCAAATATTACATTTACTTACATTCTCCTCTCACTCTTTATTTTTTTCGATCGAAAAGTATATAAACTATTTTTAAGCGATTTTTTTTTATTAATCTATCGATCTATCGCTCTTCTTACGTTTAACAGAATATGACATTTTTTTTTTAACATTCATTTTTATATCGTTTATCAAGATTAATAAAAATGTGTCAATCTTTTGATCAACTTCTTCTACAAACGAGTAAATTTCACGTGAATTATTTATGGAGTTTATCAACTTAATCAAACGATCTTTTTACTTAATTTCTCGATAATTAATAATATCGTCTGTCATTCCCTTCTTTCCATATTTTCTTATGTTCTTTTTTTTTTTTTGATTGGTAAGACGGTGGTAAAATTTGTTAAAAATGAATAAAGGAGAAGCTATTTCTACGAAATGGTAAGACGGTTGGTTTGTATTGATTTTGGCGGAAGTCGATCAACTTCAAGAAAAGAAGAAGAAAGAATGTAGCTCGGAAAGAAAAATATAAGCTGCTTTAAGTATGCTAACACGATAACTCAACGACCGAACGAATTACTTTGTAAAGAAAATTACAAATTTGCCCAATTCGAAGAAATTTGTCGTAAAGATTTCCTAATTTTATATGCCATATGATAAAGTCGAGGACAAAAAATCAATATTTGCTCGTGATACTCGTACAAATTTTTCGGATCACGAAAATATTTAAAGATAAAAGCCGAGTTTTAATTCTAATAATTTTAAATATTAATTTAAGATTGTACGTACAAATCGTTACAAATTTTTATAAAATAACTAATCCTAATGATTTGTGCAACAATTTTATTACAAATCGGATTTGCGATTAAAATAAAATCTAAATAAATAATACGGTAAATATTTACAGAAATAATTTTTACAGAAAATATAAATGAATCAGAACATTTGATTTTCTTTTTCTAATACAAAATATAAAAGAATAAAACTATCCGTACGAAATATTAATTATTTGATATTACTACAAAAATATTCACGTCGCGTACGTTAAAAAATAATGTGTTCGTAAAACTTAATTCTCAAATAAAGTAATTTTCCTTCCTGTTAAATTGTAATTTTCTTCTTTTCCTTCGCTCTAATATAAAAACAATAAAACATTGGAGAAATTCTCTCTTTTACAAAATAAAATTAAAATTTCTACCGACCAAATTAAGTAGCCAAATAAGTGTTAATTTGTGAACGCGATTATAGTCTTAGCTGCAATTGATTTTATTCGATATACCGTCAGATCGACCAAATCTTTCCGCAATTGCATTACATAATAGTACAATATGGAGAATACATTTCTATATGTCATTAGATACATGTCAAGTAAAATCACAAATTTTACAAGCACTGAAAATATACGAGAACGGAGAATTTTAAATGAATTCACAAGTAAAAATAACTTGCATCGTTGTTACACGTACACTCTTCAAAATACACTCTTTCGATATTTTTATCCCTTTACGGAATAATTTCAGCGTATTATTCACTTCGATGATATAGTTTACGATGCTATCTTTCTTTTTTTTAGCTATATATTTATAATGGGATAAAACTTTATAGCTTCAGACTCAAAGATTAAGAGTATTTTTTCATCTCGTGCTCTTTCTTCTTCTTCTTCTTCTTTTTTCCCTTTTTAATCTTATTACGACGACAAAAATAGAAAACTGAAGATTATCGCTTCTCTTATTTTTTTTTTTTTTTCAAAAATTCGATTGAGAACTTGAAAGTGTAACTCTATCAAGAAGATATTATACGATACGGAAAAAAAAAAACCTCTGGTTATTATCAGAACAGGATATGTTTCCTGCTAAGATAAAACGATTTATAACAAAAAGGTTATTTTCACGTAACGCAAGATTTAACGTGGCAATTTGTAACATCAAAAAATTACGTACGATCATTTTGTCAAAATATCGAAAAGAAACATTTTTTTTTTCTTTTTTAATAATCAGAAAAGTGAAGAATGATTTTCCTTTAGTAGAATTTAATGTACAACAGAGACAAGTCTTGTATTTCGTTGAGATTTTTCATTACAAAAAGATAAATAAAGAAGCGATGAAAATAAAAATTGTACAATTCTGTATCAATGTTATCGAACGGAAATCGATTTAAATTGAAAAAAATCAGAATCATTTTTCTTCTTCGGTTGAACTTAAGAAGCACGATAATCCTTCCTAAATACATGGCACCGCCGATGATCTGCAGTGCGCGTGTACATTGCGACTCTTTCGACGTCAAGAACGATGGGGTTACGATTGAAACGTCAATCAGATATTATTCGGCTTTTCCCGACCCGTTTCACAGAATATTCCGAAAAGATCGTTCTCGATACTGTAAACGGATTTTTCGGAATAAATCCCGTTTTCAATTTCAAACACCTTTAATAATATTTCCTCGAGCGAAAGAAATCTATCTACTCTCGAATTTACGTTCGAATCGATGATAAAAAGTGAATCTCTCGTAAAATAAATAATATATTCATATTTCACAAATGATACAACTTACCCCAACTAGCCCCTGTGCGCCCCAGGAACTGTCCAGTCTCGGAGTTCCATACAAAGACCCTGAAACCCTCCCATTTGCCAAGCTTCGGCGGTGGAGTGTAATACTGTTCGACTTTTTTACCCTCCATTCTTTACGACTAGACGAAAGATGGAGAGAACAATCGAATTTTCTCCCCGCGTATCACCACGAACGAACGAACGAACGAACAAACGAACGAACGAACGAACGAACGAACGAACGAACGACGACAGTCAGGATCTGGTCTGCTCTATCTGGTAATATTGTTGTACGTCTTCTGGTGGAACAGTGCCGCGATCGAACAGTTCCGCGGGCGAGGACGCAAAGGAAGGAAGGGTCGATTCGTGCCCTCGTCTCGAGCTACTGTTCTCGGGCGCTCTCGTCCGACCAAGGGATGAATATTGAACGATCGAACCCAGCCTGGCCCGAGCTTTTCAGGCCGTCCCCTCCTTCTCTCCTTGCTCTCGTTTCTCCGCTCCCCTTCCTCTCGCCCCCTCTCTCTTCCTCCAGCGGTGTGCTTTCTCACTGCCGCGGAACCGCTACCCTTTTCCACCGCGTCGACCAAATCGCGCAGTCGCGTCAATACCGCCACCCCCTCCCCCTCGACGGGAGTATCGCGGCCAGGTGGCACTAGTGGCAATCGTGACCGGCTCGCTTGATCCTTCTCGCTCCGACTCGCGCCTTTTTAATCGCCCTTCCTCTCGTTTCACTCGATTCGATCGACCTCGCTCCATTCGTGACACGCCGACTCCAACCTTACGCGATTCTCAACGGACAGATATATGCGATCGTAGAAAACGATACTCTCTTTGTCTTCTTCGATCGTTCTTCGTCTCGAATAATCGAAATCGGGTGTATCGTACGTATCGTTGCATGGGACGAGAATTAAAAACAGGACAAATAAAAGTATATATATATACATATATATGTATGTATATATAGGAGGTGGGGGGAAGGAGAGAAGATATATGTGACGAGAGAAGAAAGTTAAAGCTCAGAGTTTCGATATGAATGATTATGAAAATTCGTTTAATAAGATCGTTACGTTTCGTTGAGTGAAAATATAATTTTTTCTAACCGCGCTATTGTGATCTGTCGTGATTATATTATATCAGCTGTATGATCTTTAATTCTTCGATTTTAATTGTTAAAGTACAAAAGTTCGAGATCGTCTCGAATTGTTCCTCGAAATTATATAAAAAAAAAAGAAAAAGAAAAAGAAAGAAAGAAAAGAAATGTAGTGGATAAAAAGATATTAGAGATTAATATCATTGGCCAAAATCGAGTTAATTCCAGAACCGAATTCTGGCACGTATCGTTTATTGTTGTTCCAATGCAGTTTATATCGATTACTGTTTTATTTTTCCTACGATTCACAATATTTAATGAATTTTGGAATTTTTTTTGGATAAAAATATATATTCAATTACACAAATTTATAAATATTAATTATAAATAATATTAATCTACAAAGGTATGTACATACAAAAAAAAATAATTCGTTGATTATTTATACAATTTATATTTTTATCGATATCATATGTAGATTGCGATAATAATTTAATTAATAACTTGGATACAGCACATTACATCCGTAGATAGATGTCGATAACGCGTTATGGATACAAATATTGTTTAATATTGTTATAACAAGATACAAAATCATTTATTACGATTTGAATCTTGAACACGAATAAATCTATTTATCTAAAAAAAAAAAAAATAAAGTTAAATATAAAGTATATATCTATTGATATATAGAAAATTGACATAATTCTGTACATTTATATATTTATTTATTTATTTATTCATTTCTTCTATTATCATTCATTTATTTACTTTATACAGAATCTTAATACGAGATATTAAAGACATGTATTTTATAAGCACGAAATAAATAATAAATTATATTTTATATAAAACCATAATGCGGTATCTGTGCCACTAAGTAATGTTACCATACATGCACACTCTTACATAACGGAAGTTCTGTGTATCGATTGCACTCAAAATGTCCAATTTAGCAATTTTTGGTTGCCGAAAAAAAAAAAAAAAAAAGAAAAGAAAAAAAATTCGACGGTACACATTCATATAAGTTAGCCACTTCTTTTCTTTGTCGACGATCTTTGTCACTCGATAATTATAGATAAATTAATTAAATAAAAAGAAAAATTGTAATAATTGTAATAAGTTATTGTATCCATTTATTCCTCCTTCTCATTTGCACGAATAATCGTAAACCGTAAAAATATATTTTACGATAAACAAACAAATGTGGGTTATCAAAACAATTTGAATTATCCATTATTTAATAATTATATCGTATGGAATATTTTATTATAGTTTACTTTTAACCACATCAAAAAATACATTTAATTTATTTTATTTGCTTCAATTCATTCGTATTACAAATTACTATAATTTTTGTCTACAGCACATAATATACAGTTATTGTTATATATTATCCATTCCCACAGATGCAATGTACAGGATCTTTTTGTTAAATCTTTAAGATTTTTACCTCTTTTACAATTAGATCCTTTCTTTTATGAAATCGTTCCTGTTTGTGAATATTGTATATATATATATACATATATAAAATATAATATATATATATATATATATATATATATTTATATTATATATATATGTATATGTATATGTATATGTATATAGAAGTTTTGAGAAACATAGATATATAAAAAAAAGCAACATTTTATACAATTTTTTTCAACGCATCTTTTAAAACAATAGTCTCAGCGTATCTTGTACTATTCAATTATGAATTATGAATTTAAACTATATTTAGTTTATACAAACAAATTAAACGGTGCATCTATAATTAAATGCTAGATTTTCATCACATTTTCAGAATAGTCTAAGAGTATACTTCAACCAGTTTTTTTTTCTTTTTGATTTATTTACAAATATTTCATTGTTTTATAATCGCATGTAAATAAAGAAATTATGTGCATTATTAAACAATGTCACTGTTCAAAGAGTTATAAACTTGATATCGATATAATATCAATAATCATCGCAAAATAATCGTAATTACTCTACAAAAAGCGTGTTTATTTACACAGCTTTCCTTTGTACTATCGCACATAAAGAAAGTACAATTTCATAAGAACGTACGCACGACGTATCCTAAACACACCGGCTAAAAGTGTAGACGGATTGGTTGGTAACGTTTTTTATTAAATATTTCATTACAGGAGGTTAAAATATTTATAATGCATTCAAATAACAGAATTTACAAATATATCTCAATATTTCCATATATATGTATGTATATATATAGCGTGTATATACACATCACATATTTGTATGTAAATCTTATTTCCTTCCCCTACCACACTATATCTCATACATACTTATTACTTACGTACTCGTACACTCGTTCTCTCTTTCACACCGAATTCTTATTTACATGACGTAGAGTGGCACAAACCTTCATACAGATTTTTTTTCGTTTTCAAATTTGTTTCTTTTTTTTTTTTTTTTTTTTCCTTTTTTTTTTTCTCGAGCTTTGACCCATTACACTTTCTGTACCACGATAACAGGAGTACTACGCGTCTCCACGACAGAAAAAAATCTGATCCTCTCGTACGACGAGCGACCGTCTCTACAAAAACTGAACGAATGAGTTTTCACTTTGCACAGAATGCTTCCTTAAATTTTTTTTTTTTTTTTTTTTTTTTTATTTTTCTATTCCTTATTATTCTTTGAATAATCAGTAATTATTACATTTATATGTTAAGCAGCACGCTTTATCTCCCCTCCCCCCCCTTCTCCCACCCACCCATCCCCCCTCATTTTAACACGTTTCTGACAATTTTCATTTCAATTGGAAACGATATATATTATAACCCTTCTCTCTTGTGTTTTCTATTTATTCGAAATGGCAACTCTTCTCTTCTACATTGTATCATCGCATTTTTGTATTTGTTGTATTTCATGCTATTATTTTTCGTTTTTTTGGATTTTTCTTTTTTTTGTTATTATTATTATTATTGTTGTATTGTTATTATTATTATTATTATTATTAGTATTAGTATTATTATTATTATTATTTTCATCCTCGTCCAAAGCACGTATTGTCTTGGTGAGTCTCGATAGTCTCGTAGCAAACCTATTCCCCGAATGAACGGTCATCATATGCAAACGTGTTATTTATGGTGTAGCGAGTTCCGCTCGCAACACGCGGCAAATCGTAGTACATCGTAATTGTAAGCGCTTTTAAGTCACTATGCCGACGATATATCCTGATACATCTTGTCTGCGTATGCACACACACATATATTTGCGTATTTCTGTTTGCATATTAGGTGTACCTGCATATGTGCATCTCGATAGAATTTCCTTCTCTTCCTTTTCTCCTTACAACTTTCTCCGTACTTATCTTAATCGCTGCCCAATTACACCCCTGTATGTCCAGAAATATTTTGGAAAAAGAAAAA